TAGAAAGAATAATGTGACAAGTTATAATAATTTTTTAATTTTTTGACTTTTTAGTTAAAATATATAATTGACAATATAATGAATATTTTCATGTGGTTGTTCTCCATTGATTTTTAAAATAACATTATATAAAGGAAAAATTAGTCAAGAGTCCTTCTCCCACTTTTCATAATGGAAGCGATCTACAAAATTATTTTTTGATATCTAAAGTCCCTAAACATATATCAGAGAAATTTGACTTTTGTCTCTCTCACTCTCTCTCTTTCTCTCTCTGTCTACCTCATTTTGATCACCACCACCAGACGCCTTTCTTTCTTCGACTTTCGCAAATCGCTGATCACAAAGCCTCTATCTTCTTTCTCTTTCGCAAATAGCAAAGTAAAGAACAAAAGTAGATCGCCGAGTTCGATGGATCACCGCCGACTACGCCGCCGGGTGGAAACAACGACTCTTGGGATCTGATTTATAAGGCCGCGGGACAAGTGGCGAGGTTGAAGATGAACGATGAAGGACCTCACAAAGCCAAAGGCCTTCTCGGCCCTCCTTGGCCTCTCGCTCCACCTCCTCTAAAAAACATCAGCACCTATTTCTATGCCAATCAGTGCCTCTCTCACAATATATACTTGTTCCCTCTTCTTATCTAGTTTGTTGATTTTTGGGTTTTGTTTTTGTTTTGTTTTGCAGTTTGAGCAAGCGAGACATGACCAAATGATGAAACAACAGTGCTCTTCTTCGATTTGGGGAAGACAAACCAGAGAAATTTTGTTTTTACCGCAAAACCAGCTTCAGCAATAGATGATGGGTCAAAACAGAGGAGAGAGAGTTGTTAATGGAGGTGGGTTCGAGAATAATAATGGAAGATATGCGAGGCCACTGGGTTTGCCTCAGTATGCATGGCCTCCTTTGATGGATGAGGATTTTGATGCTGCCAATGCATTAAATTCAGAGAACAAGTACCGGTTCGAGCTCGAGTTGAGAGTTCATGTAGTCAGGATTCAGTGGTGTTGTCTACAAATTCTGTTAGAGTTAATGGGTTTTCTTCTGTTAGGAAGAAAGAGAGACTTGGGTCTTTGATTGGTAATCACTGTTTGAGCACTGGGTTTGAACTCCAATAGTAGAATAGTAGTCCAGATTTGCTGAATTTATAATGACATATGTCAACGTTTAGATTTTGGTATATAAATTTCTTGGCTTTCAAGAAGTCAATTTATTCCATGCTATTTGATTACTGTTTTCTTTAAGAAGATTTTATGGGTATGTTTCTTGTTTCTTTTGTGGTATGTATGCATGCAGGAATGGATGGTCTTGGATTAGGGCTTATTTTGCACCACAAGACTGTCAAGGATTCTCTTTATTTTGAACATCTATTTCGATTATTTTTTTTCATTTGAATTGAATTTTCTCTAGAGAAAATTCTCAACCCAGAGAAATTCTCAACCTAGAGAAAATTCTTAACCCAGAGAAAATTCAGTTCAAATGAAAAAAAATAATCGAAATAGACGTTCTGTGAGCTAAATTATTAGAGAAATTCTCAACCCAGAGAAAATTTAGTTCAATTGCCAAATACTCCTGGAAGCTTGCCATTCACTATTGCGCTTTGCCAAAGCTTCTTTCAACATCTTTGTTTCTTCTTCCACTGCCAATAGACGTTGTGTGAGCTAAATTACCAGAGCTAAATTTTAAATATTATTACACAAAAAAAAAAGAAAAGAAAAAGAATGGCAGAAGTGAACAAGTTTCTTTTCCTTCTCTTTAGAGACAAAGTCTATCTTCATCCCGATAAGGTACTTCTCTGCGGTCAGTTTGATCTAGATTCTGTTTTTGTTCAGTATGTGTTTTTTATGAATTCTGCATACTCTCAGGTTTATTATCAATTTTTTAGTATGTTTTCGATATGTTTCATCACGATTTTGTTTGTTTGGGGTCAGATTAGAGTTTTTGAATTTGTAATAGGCTTCATTGCATTTTCCCCCTTTGTATTTATCTTCTTGATGTATACAAAGTTGCTCATAATGTTAAAGTAGAGAAATTTGCCTCCATCTCTGGCATCCCAATCACAGAAATTGGAATTTCTCTAGATTGGAGAGGAAGAATTTATCTGGTTTGGGTTGGAGATGGAGAATTTCTCTGGGTTAAGTGAATTTCTCTGGATTGGAGATGAGAATTTTTCTGGTTTTCAGTAAATTTCTCTGAGTTAGAAAGGGAAATTTCTCTGGGTTGAAGTAAATTTATCTGGAAAGTCCAGAGAAATGTGAGATTTTCTCTGTGCAGTCTAGAATTTCTCTGAATAGAATTTCTCTAGGCTGAAATTTCTCTGGACTGGAATTTCAATGCGCTGAAATTTCTCTGGATTGAAATTTCTCTGGATTAACTTGAGGGACCTTAGACATTATGAAAATATTAGATGTCCTTTATGCTATAAAGTCTTAATACGAAGGACCTTAAAAAAAAAAACCCCTTATATAAATAGGTCAAATTGTGACTTGATTGGCATATTTTGGGAAGTAGGTCAAACTATTTTTTAGTTTTTTTTGACTTTTTTTTTTAAAAAAAAATATGTAAAAAAATAAAGAGAAAAAAAAACAATAATTGATGGCACTTATCATATTGAAGTGAAAGTCGTATGGATTAATTACAGTTGACATCTCAGTACTTATAAGCTGTGTTGGATTGGTCAAAGCTGGTGTGGTGAGTAGGCAAAAGGCAATCAATGGGGGCTTTAGTTTTTTCCATAGTAATTACCTACAAAGTAAAAAAAAGTAGAGCAAATAATTTCACAATTGTAGTCATCTTCCCAAACAAGGCTTATATACTTATGACCTTCTTTAATTTGCAGCCCACACTGTTTGGCAAGTTTTGTGATTCTTGTAGAGTTGGAAGGAAAACGATGATGCCTCTGATTCCCTTGTTTTTCTCTGTTCTGCTTGTTATGCCACAAGTTACCTACCTGTGGGGACATAATTTTTGAATGACAACACGTGGCCGAGATGTCACCTAAGTGCCAGCTGAGGTGCCACGTGTCTTAGCTATGACGCTGAGATGATCTCGGCTAGGCCGAGGTTATCTACGAAGATACCGGAATCCGGAATAAGCGAATAACAGAAAAGAGTCCTAGAATGGGAGAAGACTTCAGTTTAGGTAAAGATAAGACTCTTAGAGAGTTTATCCCAATCCTACTACGAGTCCAAGATTAGCAGTAATCCTAAGTCCATTAGAGCTAGGCTTCTATTGGGATTAGGATTGTGTTGGCTATAAAAGGAGGCACCCCCATGGGTCTAAGATATGTCTTTTGTGCTCTGTCTAGTGAGTTAAGCACTATTGGTTATCTTTGAGAGATATTTTACTGACTTGATCGTCGGAGTGCCCCCGGGTGGACGAACCACCGCCGAAATCTCTTCTTTCCGTGACAGGTTGTACAGGTTTAATCTATTCTGTCGGTGCTTTTCAGCTGAGTTCCCCCTTTGGTTGTGTGGTCGAAAATTGACACACACAATTTGGCGCTGTCTGTGGGAAAAAAAGGAGAATAGATGGCCAATGACGGATAGAAAGAGAAGGTTGGGGACAACACTCCTACTGGAAGTGAAAAACACATTGACCTTAATGTCGAAGAAGACAACTACAAAGAAGAGACTCATGATAAGAATTACGTAGAAAAGGATGTCAGCCAGGAGGGCAACTTGCTAAAAAAATCAGACCGAAGCGAGTATTATAACGAGGATGACCTCCAGGTATAGAAGGATAGATGCTTGCGGAAGGACAACGAGATGAAGGGAATGGCAAACAAATTGGCGGACCTGCAAACGGTCGTCAATTTCATAATGCAGAACAATGTCATGCAGTCACCGTTCCCTTTACAAGATACGCCGATTCTAGCGACCAAGAAAGATGCCCAGAAAAGAGGGCAGAACACAGTTCCTGCAGTCCCTTAGCACGACAAGGCAAAGGGGCATTCTCACCGACCTTCACGGGAGGTCTGGCATGGAGAATCAAAAAGGTCTGAAGAATGATACTTGGGAGTTGGAATTTACATGCTAAGGTTGGTTTAACACTTGTTGAAATTTTTAAGAAAAATTTACAAATTGAAGTTAAACTGAAATCATGTTTAACACTTGTTGAAATTTAAGAAAAATTTACAAGTTGAAGTTAAACAGAGGTCATGTTAAACACTTGTTGAAATTTTTAAGAAAAATTTACAAGTTGAAGTTAAACCGAGGTCATGTTTAACACTTGTTGAAATTTTAAAAAATTACAAGTTGAAGTTAAACCAAAGGCATGTTTAACACTAGCTGAAATTTTAAAAATTTACAAGTTGAAGTTAAACCAAGGTCATGTTTAACACTTGTTGAAATTTTAAGAAAAATTTACAAGCTAAAATTAAACCGGAGTCATGATTAAAGGAAGGAATGATATAGGTTCCATCACCTCAGGATGCCGAGGTAATAGAACCTAGGGGACAGTTATGGGGACATAATTTTTGAATGACAACACGTGGCCAAGATGTCACCGAAGTGCCAGCTGAGGTGCCACGTGTCCTAGTTATGATGCCGAGATGATCTCAGCTAGGCCGAGGTTATCTGCGAAGATACCGGAATCCGGAATAAACGAATAAAAGAGAAGAGTCCTAGAATGGGAGAAGACTTCAGTTTGGATAAAGATAAGACTTTTAGAGAGTTTATCCCAATCCTACTAGGAGTCCAAGATTAGCAGTAATCCTAAGTCCATTAGAGCTAGGCTTCTATTGGGACTAGGATTGTGTTGGCTATAAAAGGGAGGCACCTCCATGGGTCTAAGGTATGTCATTTATGCTCTGTCTAGTGGATTAAGCACTATTGGTTATCTTTGAGAGATATTTTACTGACTTGATCGTCAAAGTGCCCCCGGGTGGATGAACCACCACGGTATTCTTATCTTTCTGTGACAAGTTGTTCGAGTTTAATCTATTTTGTCAGTATTCTACAGCTGAGTACTAGTTTGGCAGTGTGGTTGGAAATTGACACACACACTACCCATATACAATATGCTCAACAACCACCGCTAATTACACCGTCCATAGCCAATTTGAAAGCAACCTCAAAGGCCTCTTGTCCGGGTCACCTTACAATGACGGCGATCAATCCAACTTGTCCACTGCCATCAAAACCGATGACCCGGACAGAGTTTATGGCCTATTCCTTTGCGGAGTAGATGTTGCAAACAGTTTTTGCAAGTATTGCATCGACTCGGCAAGCGATGAGATTGTAAAACAATGTCCACTCAAGAAAGAGGCAGTCATATGGTATGATCAGTGTTTGATCTCCTACTCCAACAAACCTTTTTTCTCTGCCAACGAGACGAGCCAAGCATTTTGTAAGTGGCAGGAACAATATAATAGAGTAAAAGAGTCAGACAACCAATTGAATCAGATTTTGGGGAGTATGTTTGATAATCTGAGTATTGTTGCAACTTCCAATCCTTCTATCTCCATGAATGCAACCACTAATGTTAATTTTAGTGGTGTTTCGATGGATGGGATGGTAAAGTGTGCACCTGATTTGTCACCGATTGATTGCCGAAATTGCCTCTCTGGTGTTGTTTCTGCTATTCTTAGCTGCATTCTTGGAAGTTGGGTTCGAAGGTTTACACCAAGTTGTATTGTAAGGTATGACTTGAACCACATCTCTCAAGATCCTCCACTCGGGGCTGCAGAAGCTCCTTCCGCAGGGACGGAACCAGAAATTTTGTCTAGTGGGAGCCAGGGTATGTGCATAAAAATTAAAAATAAAAATAATAATGAAAAAAAAAATTGAGTTAATTTTGGGGATAATTATTCAGTAATCCCGAAATATAAACACGTGGTATTCCATAGCATTGTGATTGGTGGAGAAGGTGGGTAGATCGGATATTATGTTTTGTAATTGGAGAACATGAAAGAACATATTGAATGATGATTGTTTAAGTACGGACGTGTAGTACTATGGAACATTCTATAATTTCCCTAATTTTGGTATGTTTTTAATTAAAGATAATTTGTTAGGAGGATCTCCTCCAGTCCAAGGGCACTGTTTAGGCCCGTAGGGCCTACCACGAGTCCCGTTTTAATGATCTGAACCGTTCATTTTGTCGAGCACTTTATGTATTTCCACCACAAAATAAATTAGGTCGATCCAATAATTATAATTTGTTAAGTTGTAAATTAGGTTGATCCAATATAACTATTGTGAAAGAAGTATTTCATTAAAAAAAAAATTGAAAAAAAAGAAAGAAAAAAAAAGAAGAAGATGAATTGTATGATCTTGTCTAGTGGACGTCAAGGTATGTGCATAGAAGTGTCTATCCATCTTCTATATATATATATATATATATATGCACTCATCGCGTGTGCCACCGCTTCTAGTTTCTTAGATAACCATTGTTTCTTGGATAAATTCAATTTCTCTATTATTTTCATTTGATTGTTGAACTTATGTGGTTACTAAAAGAAGACAATTTGCTTTGAAAAGGAAGTAAAGGAAGGAAAGTAATAGCACGTATAATTAGCATAAGCATATCAACACTCATTGTTGTTTTAGTGTTGGTTGGTTCTAGTATCTACTACCAAAGAAGGAAAAGAACAGAGAAAGAAACTTGCCAAGAAGTTGAAGTACTCAACTTGGCAGGAGGAAGGTTTGGCAATGACTTCAACAATGAAGATTTAGGAGGAGAGAAGCAAACAGAATCACAAGACTTTTCTTCAGTCCAGTTAGATCTTATACGTGTAGCTACAAAACATTTTTCTGAAGAAAATAAGCTCGGTGAAGGTGGATTTGGTCCAGTTTATAAGGTATTTTTAAGGCTATAAATCATAGTTTGTTGTGTAAGGTGACACGGTGAACTAAGTGATTTGCAGGGTTAAATTCAATGAACCAACACAACCTTAAATAGGCATTTATCAATTTCTTACTATGGTGCATTGCATGACTCATAAATTGTTGTAGGGTGCATTACCGAATGGCAAGAAAATTGCAGTTAACAGGCTCTCATGAACTTCTGGCCAAGGATTACATGAGTTTAAGAATGAAGTTACTTTAATTGCAAAACTACAACATGGGAATCTTGTTCGACTCTTACGTTGTTGCTTGGAGGGAAACGAGTCACTGCTCATCTATGAGTACATGCCTAACAAAAGCTTAGATATTTTCCTCTTTAGTTTGTACCCTTCTTATTTTTATTCACTTGCTAATCAATCCAATTTTAATGCCATCACAAATCAAACACTAGAGATAGTAATATGCTTGAATTTTGTTCGTTTCATTGTTAGATCCAACTAGGGATATGCAACTAGATTGGAAGACACGCCTTCTCATTATTAATGGAATTGCTCGAGGCCTTCTTTACCTAGATGAGGATTCCCGACTTAGAATAATTGATAGGGACCTTCAAGCTAGCAATGTTTTATTGGATCATGAAGTGAATCCCAAGATATCATATTTCGGAATGGGAAGGATTTTTGGTGGAAATCAAAGTGAAGCCAACACGAACAAAGTAGTTGAAACATAGTAAGCCTCTTCCTTTTCCACTTCCATACATATGTATAGATGCATGAATTTGCATTTTTTAGTTAAATTATTTTCTTTGGTTTGAACATGAGCCTACGAGTTCCTATAATTTATGTTCATATCACCTGACATTATTTGGGATGATTCAATCTACAACAGTGGCTATATGGCTCCAGAGTATGCTATGGAAGGACAGTTTTCAATTAAATCCGATGTTTTCAGTTTTGGAGTTCTCTTGTTAGAGATGATAAGTGGGAAAAAGAATAGTGGCTTTTATGTTTATGAGAATGGTCATAACCTCCTCACTTTTGTATATTCCTAGCCGTCTCTCTATATTTTAAAGGCACCATAATGAAATATGCCTTGATTTTAACCTCATTAGTTGAAATATTGTCACAAGCATGGAAACTATGGTCTGAAGGTAAAGAATTGGAGCTAATGGACCCATTATTGGTGCAGTCATGTGTGACAGCTGAAGTGTCAAAATGCATCCATATCTGATTATTGTGCGTACAGGAAGATGCAGTAGATAGACCCGCTATGTCATCTGTAGTTGTTATGTTGAGAAACGACACATTGACACTTCCTCGACCAACACAACCACCTTTCTCTGTTGGGCAGCTAGTCTTGAAAAAAGCTCAATCCTCAACAAATGTTAAATTACCCTCTATGAATGGATTAAATATTTCAAATGTATCGCCGCGGTAAATTTTACTATTAAATTATTATTTTCTTGGTTCTTTGAAAAGATTCACGGACATGAACATTTTTTTTGATCGAGCAATGGTAACTGAAAATTTTGTTGCAATCATAATCCTTATCTGATGATTGTGGAATCCTCATTTGATGGAAGTTATAGGAATTTTATTATTCAATAGTCTTAAAACATAGATACGTGGTATTTTATGGTATTGTAATTGGTGGAGAAGAGTAGGTAGGGTATTGTGTTAGGTGATTGAGGAACTTGAGGGGGCATGATGAATGATGATTAGTTAGGGAATACAAACACGTGGTACTCCAAGAGTATTCTATAATTTTTCAAATTTTATATAGAGAAAATCCTTAATAAATCCTCATTCCCACTTGTATATGTCATTGAGGACACGGGTGCTTTTTGTTGTAATTTATAGGTTTATTTTGGGCCAACTTTGAGCCCAAATTTGAGTGGGTTCCAAACATCTTTTGGGGTGGGTCCAAGGGGTGGCGTGTTCCTTGCCAGATGGCAAGTAACACGGTAAAGATGGTTTGTCAAAACCATTTATGAGTGAATGGGAACTTGACGTCGTTTTCAGGTTCGTGGAATAGACAATTAAAGAGTAAAATATGGGTTTCCTTGAATAGGTTGTCCCATATTAAAACTTAAAGAGAACTTATGTGTGTATAACACTTGGGTTAGACCCCAAGGGGCACCCCAAGTTTGTAGAAGGAAGGAGTTATGGACAAAGTGAGCCTTGGCTCAAACCACCACATGCTCGTGCACCACTGTCTGTCCAATCGGGCCAAGTTTGGGTGCGAGCTGCAGATTGTGGGTTAGGTCCTAACATTAATTTTTTGGACAAAATTTATTTGAATTTTTTCAAATTCTTGCGGGAAAATTATTTGAATTTCTTAACGAAATTAATTTAAATTTTGCACTAATATTTTCTGTCCAAATAGAGCCCTTCTCCAGTCCAATTTCCAGCAGTCCAGCAGGTTCAAACAGGTTACAGTTGCACCAAACCAATTCGATTTTCCAGACAGATTCAAAACTGGGTTCAAACAGTTTTGCATCTGTTCAGTTTAAATTCCATATCTGTTCAGGTTGTTTGCACATGTTCAATTCAAAAACCAACATGTTTGGACCTGTCCAACAACCACCAGTTTGCCTATAAATTCACATTCATTTCCAGCAGATTTTAACATCCTGAAACATCTAGAAAAATTATCTTGCTTCCCGTTTTTGCTCTTGTGCATTGTTATTCTTCATATTAGTTTTAGAGAAATATTTGAAAGTATAGAACGTAGGTTTGGTTCGCCGTGCAAATTATTTGGAGTGCTACTACAATTTGTGAAGATCATTGTATCCTGAGAGATAGACGCCATTTATCCGTAAGCACCATAGTAAGGCGAATCCATCTTAAGGACAGAGTGTCACATACTCGACTTAATTTTTTAAATATTTATTCGGTTCGGTAAATAAATTTTGTAAGTGATTTATTTTATTTGTTTGTTTTGGTTTCAAGTTATTCATTTTACATAGAAGATTGTTCCATCATTCTTAAAACAGATTTGTTCTGGTTTTTCAAGATGCTTATCATTGTCAAAAAGTTACAATTCTTGTTTCTTTTATTTTTAAATAACTTAATTATGTGGTTTTAGTTTAATTTTTCTGTGTAGTATAAAATTCTAATTATAATTTTGTTTTATAATTTAGAATTTATGACTACTGAAACTAATGCTCAAATAAGTACTGGTATGGTGGCTGCAATTGCTCTAACCCCTCTTCTTGTTGTAACTGTGCCAGTCAATCATGGTGAGAAGCTAAAGAAGTTCTTAGGAACTGATTTTAAAAGATGGTAGCAGAAAATGCTATTTTATTTTACTATTCTCAACCTGGTATGGTTTCTTCATAAGAATGCTCCTACTCTAAACGAGGATGAAACCGACCGGTAAGTGGTTGTTGCAGTCGATGCCTGGAAACATGCTGATTTCCTTTGCCGGAACTACATCTTGAGCAAACTTGATAACACATTATACAACATTTACAGTCCTATCAAGACGGCAAAGGAACTTTGGGAGTCTTTAGAGAAAAAATACAAGACAGAAGATGCTGGCTTGAAGAAATTCATAGTAAGCAAATTTCTGGACTTTGTGATGGTTGATTCTAAGATTGTGATTAGCCAAGTTTAAGATCTCCAACTCATTCTGCATGACATTCATGGAGAAGGCATGTCCCTCAGTGAATCCTTTCAAGTTGCTGCCTTTATTGAGAAATTACCACAAGACTGGAAGGAATTCAAAAACTACCTCAACCACAAGCGCAAAGAAATGACTTTGGAGGAATTGATTGTGCATTTAAGGATTGAGGAGGACAGTTGTAATTTTGAAAAGCAAGCTGGTAAGCATCCAATGGAGTCTAAGGCAAATGTAGTGGAACATGCTCCAAAAGTAAAGAAACGGAAGTATTCTGGAGAAAGTTTCACACAAGGCTCTAAAGGAGGGGAAAATAAGAAGAATAGGTTTAATGGAAAATGTTACATTTGTGATAAAGAGGGACATCGGGCCAAAGATTGCCATAGCAAGCGCAAAGGCAAAAGAAGATCAAGCAAGAAGCCTACTCAAGCCAATGTGACCGAAATGGACAAAATTTCCAATGTTGTTGAGGACATAAATCTTTCTGCAGTTGTTTCCGAGGTAAACCTTGTCAGAAATCCTAAAGAATGGTGGGTGGACACTGGTGTTACTCGCTATATCTATGCTGACAAAAAGATATTCACATCTTATTTTGTGGTGGACAACGGTGAACAACTTTTTATGGCAACTCCTCAACTTCTAAAGTTGAAGCACAAAGAAAGATTGTTCTGAAGATGACATCTGAAAAGGAACTCACTCTCAACAATGTGCTACGTGTACTGGACATTCGTAAGAACCTTGTTTCTAGATCCTTATTGAGTAAAAATAGATTTAGGCTAGTTTTTGAAAGTGACAAGTTTGTATTTACCAAAAACGGGATGTATGTAGGAAAATGTTACATGTCTGACGGCTTTTTCAAAATAAATGTAATAACTGTTGTCCCCCCTGTTATTAATAAAAATACATCTTCATTTTACTTGCTTGAGTCTTCAAATTTATGGCATGATAGACTTGGACATGTTAATTATGGATCTTTGCGTAGATTAATTAATATGGAATGTGTACCTAAATTTGACATTGATTTAAATCATAAATGTGAAACTTGTTCTAAGGCAAAATTATCCAAAACTCCTTTTCATTCAATTGAAAGAAGTACGGAACCACTTGAATTAATTTATAGTGACATTTGTGATTTTAAATCAATTCAAACTAGAGGTGAGAAAAAATATTTTATCACTTTTATAGATGACTATCCTAGATATAGTTATGTTTATTTAATTCGAACCAAGGACGAAGCTTTAGAAACTTTCATTCAATATAAGAATGAAGTTGAAAATCAACTTCGTAAGAAAATTAAGAAACTTAGAAGTGATAGATGTGGTTAATATGAATCACTTTTTGGTGAGTTTTGTAAAGAACATGGAATAATTCATCAAACCACCACTCCTTACTACCTCAGCAAAATGGAATTGCTGAAAGGAAAAATAGGACTTTAAAAGAAATGATGAATGTCATGTTAATAAGTTCTGAATTACCTCAGAACTTGTGGGGGAAAACAATACTTTCTACTAATTATATTCTAAATAACATACCCCGAAAGAAAGTGAATCAAACACCTTATGAAATGTGGCATAGGAGAGTACCATCCTACAAATACTTAAAAGTGTGGGGGTGTTTGGCTAAAATGGCTATTCCTAGTCCTAAAAAGACTAAAATAGGTCCTAAAACTATTGATTGCATTTTCATTGGTTATGCCATGAATAGTAGTGCATATCGATTTTTGATTCATAAGTCAGAACATTCTGAAATACGTGTAAATACTATTATTGAATCTCGGAATGCATCTTTCTTTGAACATATGTTTCCAAATAAAACTGGACAAGAAACTAGTACTAACAAAAGATCTTTTGATGCTATCACTAGTTATGATCAAGAACAAGAACAAGAGCAAGAGATAGATCAAAATGAAGAAGATGAACATAGGCGTAGTAAACGTGCTAGAATCTCAAAATCGTTTGGTCCAGATTTTCTAACTTTTTTGTTAGAAAATGAGGCTTTAACTTTCAAATAAACTATGTCCAGTCCTGAAGCTCCTTTATGGAAAGAGGCTATAAATAATGAATTTGAATTCATCTTACAAAATCACACTTGGGAATTGGTGGATTTGCCACCAGGTTATAAACCTCTTGGATACAAGTGGATTTTCAAGAGGAAAATGAAAGCGGATGGATCAATTGACAAATACAAAGCGAGACTTGTGGTCAAAGGTTTTAGACAAAAAGAAGGTCTTGATTACTTTGACACATACTCACTGGTTACTAGAATAACATCCATTAGAATGCTAATTGCTATTGCATCGTTGTATAATCTAGAAATTCATTAAATGGATGTGACAACTGCTTTCTTAAATGGTGAGTTAGATGAAGATTTACATGGAATAACTAGAAGGATTTTCTGTTCCAAGAAAAGAAAATGTATAAATTGGTTAAATTATTATATGGTTTAAAACAAGCTCCAAAGCAATGGCATGAGAAATTTGACAAAGCAATGATGTCAAATGAATTCAAAATTAATGAATGTGACAAATGTGTTTATATTAAAAATACAAGCAAGGGTTATGTTATAGTATGTCTTTATGTAGATGATATACTCATCATAGGTAGTAATAATGACATGATTAAAATTACCAATAAAATGTTGAATAAATATTTTGACATGAAAGACATGGGGATTGCTGATGTAATGCTTGGTATGAAAATTACCAAAACATCAGAAGGTTATGCTTTGTCACAATCACATTACATTGGAAAATACTTGACATATTTAGCAAAGATGATGATCATCTTACTAGAACACCTGTGGATGTTAACTTATTT